CCTGGCCTGCTGTGTTCCTCCAGCCCCACACTGTGTTATACATGTTTCAGTCTATTCCTGTTTCAGAACAATGTTCCTTAATCAAAGAAATTTCTCTGCGCTTTCTGCACTTGTCTTCCTTGTATCTCTCTGTGCCAGATTACTGTTTTACACCGATGTCTCATGTGTAAATATTACAGTCAGCAAGGACAGAACACAATAATCCCATTAGCCTAGTCTGGTTTACCGTCAGGTAAAAAAAAATCAAGGAACCACGGTTGTTGGAAATCAGAAACAAAAACAGATATTGATGGAAAAACTGGCAGCATCTATGGAGTGGGAGAGGAAGCAGAGTTAACATTTCAGGCCCAGTGACTCTTCTTCAGAACTTCAGACCAGCTGCGTTTTTCTAGCAATTTCTACTTTTGTTCCCTAAAAGTGAAGATGTGGTATTTAATCAATTGCACCATCTAAACCTTCTCACATCTTACATAATACAAGTGAGTAAGGATTTCATGAGAAGCAAGTAAGTGGGTCAAGGAATCAGTTACTTACTAAAATTTGGACAATATATGGTGAAACAAAGGTGAACTTGATGTAATCTTTTTTACTTTTTCCCTCTCTCTCCTGTCACATTTAACCAATCAGCACTTTAAAGCATAGTTAGACACTTGAGTCATTATAATCCTGTTTTCACTTCCATTTTTTGTTCCAGAATCAACTCCAAAGCCTCTTAAAAAGAAGAAGTCATTGATAGACTGGGCTCTCCGCCGAAGCTCCAGCAACCAGTCAGACAGCAGTCTTATCTTAGACTCTCCAGTTACTCCAAGGAAACTTTTTGGTTTGTCCCTACCATCCATCTGTAGGAATGGCACCCTTCCTAAGCCTATTATGGTAAGAAGTACAGCTGACCATTGACTACTCTTTAAGAACAATCCAGCAGCCGTGAAGAGCTTTGAAATATCCTGTGGATATGAAAGATGCAACACATTTCTTCTTTTTGTTCCCTTTTTTTTTCTTTTCTGCACTTTCTTTTAATTCTTTTCCTTCTTTGTTACTACTTGCTGCTAGAGTGAAACTTTTCAGCATGTATTCAGTTTAGAGCTCCAAGTTCGGATTCTATATTAAGGTCCAGAATTGAACACAATGGTCTGGATTTTCATAGAATTGGGGAGACTCTAGGGAGGGCATGGAGTGAAAATTGACTAGGACTCGATTCTTGACCCATTCTTGAGATTTCCAATTTTCACCAGTGCAGGTTGAGGGTGCGAGATGGTTCAGGTCACAAGTCTGCACATTGTACTCCCAACCTGGCCAGGTCCATGAAGGGCATATGTATCTCCTAGCCCTTTACAATTTTTCATGGGATTAAGCCAGCTTTTAAAGGACTTGTGCTTCACTGCACCTCAGAAGTGTCAATGAATGTGATGTGGGTGAGGGAACCTTTTGAAAGATAAGTTCCCCATTTCCCATGCCAAGAATGTTCCACCACCCAGCCTTATGGTCCCAAACATCCTTCATGCCAAGCTATGAGTCCCACCCACATCCATATGCCCACCTATACCTATTAACCCACTCTATAGAACTAATAAACCTGGTAGTGACAAGCGGATGTGATAAAACATTTTTAAAGAAATTGTCATTGATTAATAACTTTCCACATTCTTAAAAAAAATGCTACAGAGCTATAAATGTGTCATACCCTTTAAGATATCAATAGCAGATTCTGCAAGCTCTGGAAACTATTTTATCATGCATAAATAAACCTTATGTAATTGATAACATTAATCAGTGTCAGACTGTCGGTCACATGGTTTTGTTTTCCTTCTGCTCAGCTATTTCAACACTCAAATAGCTCTGCTCTCTCAGCCAAGAATGCATAGTGAGGCTTGTCTGAGAGCTGAGATATCCATTAGAATGTTGAAACAGCTGAGCTATAGGAAAATCATCTCTTGATTGACATCTCTGACTCCCTGATCTGTGCTTTTAATTGCACAATGCTCATTTGCATAAGATAAAGTAGTTCCAAATGCTTGTGGTTTCAACTATTAATACTTTAAAAGATCTAGATGATAGACATTCTTATTGACTTGTTGTGAATTTTTTTAAGAAAGACGAAATTTAGGAATGGAGGATTTCTTAAAGCAGCTCTTTTAAAAATGCATCCTATTTTTATAGGCATCACTTGTGCCATAGCAAGAACTGGAGAGTAGAAAGGGCCATGAAGTGTAGAAGGGGGCATAGGAGTATAAAGAGCAGAAGCAGGTAGGTAGAGAGACATAAGGTGGTATGGATATGGCATGGTGAGTGTTTGGAATGTGAGAGGTGAGGACAAGATGATTTTGCTGATTTGTCACTGTAAAAAAGGCAGGCTTTAAAAAGGTAGGCCTTTTAAACAGCCTGCCTCCACTCCCTGCAGCCCCTGTGGCCACCTACCAATTTATCCAGGACTGACTGATCACTGCAGCTCATTCCCATATCCCTCACAATGAAAATTATGCCTCCAGACCCACTTTTCCCTGAGACGATGGATACAGAGTCAGGATTTTTCCTAACTCCCACTAGCTGCCTCAAGGATGAAAATCCAGCCCGATACACCAGTCGAGGTCAAACTATTGTTTTATAGTAGTTTAATTGGCTTAGTTTACAGTTTAGGTTAAAGGTGGGATTAAAATTACTCTGTTCATTCAGATTAGAGATAGGTGTGTCTCTTTGCTTATGGTACAAATCAGGCTTAGAATTAAGGTCAGTCATTACATTTTCAAAGTTTTACAAGCATACAAAACAATTTGCTGGAAAAGCATATGTCATTTATATCTGTGAAAGGAACATTACTTCAAATATGAAGCAAATTTCTGGTGGTGTCTTCCATGACCTCAGTGCTATTTCTCTACAGGATATGCTTGTCCTATTATATCATGAAGGACCCTCCACCAAAGGGATTTTTAGGCGCTCAGCTAATGCCAAGACTTGCAAAGAACTAAAGGAGAAATTAAATTCTGGAAACGAGGTGCAAATGGACAAAGAATCTGTCTTCGTGGCAGCTGCTGTTATCACGGTATGAGTTTATATAACATCTCTGTTAAAATGTTAGACTAGATCTTAAACATGTCGCTATTGGTTATAACGCAGAGAAAGGCACAGGGAATGAATGGATCTGACCGAATATGACAAAATGTTGCCAACTGACGTATCATCCTTCCATAAATATAAAACTTACAAATTTATATTTCTAACCTGGAACATTGCCCTCCAATATCCCATTTCAAAGGATTTTCCTTCTATTGAAACTAGATTGGTAAAATTATGCCAATTTTTTTTCAAGTATTCCACTATTTTGTCACAGTGTCCATTAAAGCAAATATCTGCACGGTGTATAGGGGCTTTTCATAAACATTAATTCCTATGGTTATGATTTGTGTCATGCTTTTCTGTCAACATTTCCCATTGAAATTTACTGTCAGCAGTTATAATGTAATTGTACACTCTCTCCACTAGATGCCTCTAAGGAGTGAGCTCACTCTCAATGTCATTAACATCCCATAAACAAAATAAATCTGATATATGTCAAGTAACAGTGCGCAAATTTACTTGCTGGAATTATTGCATCTAACATGACTCCTTTGCATACTAAATCTCAAACTTTCCAGGAACCAGACCAAAAATATAAATTTCACTGCAATCAGTGTCTGTCTTACAAATTTATTTTCAAAGACTGTAACCTCTTCTTCTGTTGCCAGAACTTGCCACATAGACTTTTTGCAAACAAGTAGCGTTTAACTCACTGATGGCAGAATCATAGGGGAATGAGGCATCCCTAGATGCAGAGTTTGTTGTTATCTCAGAAAATGTAGCATGTATTTTGCATACAGTAACATCTTACAAACAGCAATGAGAGATTAATGAGGTAGCAATTTCACTTGGTGCACAATATGACTCAGTTACATTCATTCAATGTGTTTAATCAAGAGCTACCAAGAGCAATTATCATAAATAGCAGCACATTCAGCGAACATTCTGAACTTGTTCCTGTTTTCATAGTGGTAACTAAAACTACCAGTAAGTCAGAAATAAATGATAAATCTTGGTGATTCCTCTTAGGGACATCAATCTATTTTTATTACCAACAGTTACAAAATTTATGAAAAGGGAGAATGAAAAAACAGACTTTACAAAATGTAAGAGTAAATTTCATGAGGCCTTGCCCAATGCAAGGCTTCCGAAATATCAGCGATGAGGCTTCAGAATATCTACTCTAGAAACAAGACTGAAGAAGAACCTATGTAATGAGTTACAAATGAAAGTAATGAATTACAGCAGTGCTTCCCAAACTTTTTTCTGCTCTGACTCCATTTTGAGGTTTGAAAGTGGTGATAACCCTCAGTGAGAGTAGAGGTTTCTGAGGTTGGCTAACATGAGGGCTGGGAGGGAGCTGTTAAAGTGGAACTACACCTGTTACGACTCAGTCAGAATCCTGTGGCAGCTCTTGCTGCATCAGAACTCAGAACTGCAATATTTCAGCTTATGACCTCACTGGGTGCCAATCCCCACATTGGGAAGCACTACATTGAATTACAGAGTGATATTTGGCTGCTTGTAATGGGAATTATCTAGTTTACAGTTCCTGATTTTGTTAATTTCATTGTTCATTTAATTTTTTTTGTTAATATTTACATCACCTTGTCAGAGTTACTAGAATAAAGCATTAATTCATAAGTGTGAGTAACCTAAAAAGAAGTCAATCACAATGGTGATTCTTCCTGTGTAGGACTTTCTACGTAACATTCCTGGCAGTGTTCTGTCATCTGAACTGTACGAGAAATGGATGCAAGGGATAGAAAATGAGAATGAAGAGGAAAAAATACAGTCCATGAAGAAGTGAGAGAAACATTTTATGACAATTTCATAAGTATATATTTAGTAAGTATATTAATGTCTTGTGTCTACTTCCTGGTTTGTGTTGAGCTAACTTGAGCTAAATTAACTGACCTCAGCAAGCATATCAGCTAGGAATTGTAATTGGCCTCAGCATCATTGGACTAGGAAGAGGAAACGAACCAAGATTCCTGCTATTCATTGGCATTTAGAATCATAGAAACATAGTAAATAACAGCAGCAGTAGACCACTCAGCCCTTTGAGCATGCTTAGCCATTCATTATGATCATGGCTGATCATCCAACCCAATAGCCTGTTCCCACTTTGCCCTCATATCCCTTGATCCCTTCAGCCCCAAATGATCTATCCAATGCCTTCACGAAATCATACAATGTTTTGGCCTCAACTGCTTTCTGTGGTGGAAAATTCCATGGGCTCACCAGTCTCTGAATGAAGAAATTTCTCCTCATGTCCATCCTAAATGGCTAACCTCACATCCTCAGACTGTGATACTTGGTTCTGGACTACCCCATCATTACCATCCTTCCTGCATCTACCTTGTCTAGACCTGTTACAATTTTATAGGTCTCCATAAGATTCCTCCTCGTTTTTTTGAACTCCAGTGAATAAAATCCTAACCAAGTCAACCACTCCTCGTATGTCAGCTGGAGTGTTGGAGACCAAAACCACATACAGTATTCCAGGTGTGGTCTCACCAAGGCCCTATATACTTGCAGCAAGACATCTCTGCTCTTGTACTCAAATTCTCTCACATATCACTTGCCTTCTTGACTGCCTGATGCGCATCCATGCTTGCCTTCAGTGAGTAGTGTACAAGGACACCCAGATAACATTGCACATTCCACTCTCTCAATGAATAGTCATTCAGATAATAATATGGTTTCCCAGATTTTGTTCCCAGAATGGATAACCTCACATTTATCAACATTATGCTCCATCTGCTATGCATTAGCCCATTTACCCAGCTTGTCCAAATCGTTGAAGCCTCTCTGTATTCTCCTCTCAGCTCAACCTCTCACCCAGCTTTGCATCATCTGCAAATTTGAAAATATCACATTTAGTTCCCTCATCTAAATCATTTAATATATATAGTGAATAGCTGGGGGCTCAGCACTGATCCCTGCATTATTCCACTAGTTTTTGCCTGAAATTTTTAAAAAGACCAGCATATTCTTTTTGCTTCCCGTTTGAAAACTAATTTACTATCCATTTCAATACTCCAGTCCCACGTGATTTAATTTTACATGCTAATTTCTTATGTGGGGCTTTGTCAAAAGCGTTCTGAAAGTCCAAATAAACCATATCACTGGCTCCCCTGTATCAACTCTACAAGTTAGATCTTCGAAGAGTTTGAGTAGTTTTGGCGAGTGTGATTTGCCTTTCATAAAACCGTGCTGACTCTTTCAGATCCTATCACTGTTTTCAAAATGCTCTGTTATTAAACCTTTTACAATAGACTCCAGTATTTTCCCCACTACTGACATCCGGCTGACTGGTCTATAATTCCTGATTATCTCTTTGCCTCCCTTTTTAAGTAAAAGTTTATATTAGCTACCCTCTAGTCTGTAAGAACTGTTGCAGAGTCTATAGAATTTTGGAAGATGACCACCAATGCAACCGCTATTTCTAGAGCCACTTCCTTAACTGTTCTGGGATATAGAGGCTCTGGGGATCTATCTGTCTTCAATCTCATCAATTTCCTAACACCATTTCTGCATTCATATTGATTTTCTTAAGTATCTCACTCACACTAAATCCTGTGTTCCCCAACATTTCTGGTATTTTATTTGTGCCATCCTTTGTGAACATGAAACAAAAGTATGTGTTTAATTGGTCAGCCATTTTGTTGTTCTCCATTATAACTTGAAGTGTTTCTGACTGTAAGGGATCTACATTTGTCTTCACCAATATTTTCTCTTTAAATACCTATAAAACTTCTTGCAGTCAGTGACTGAACACCTCCTTTCTACAGCCTATACCTTCCCTGCATTCATTGTTTAGAATGATGAATGGCCCTTTGGGTGATCTGCTAGAAGTCTGTCAACATCACACTTTAGAAGAAGTCAATAGTTTCAAGAAAGGAGGGAGGAAATACCTACTTTTCTCAAACATTTGTGTGTATGTGTTTAACAGCAGCAGTGACCTGACAGCAGCTGAGAATAGATTCTTGATTGAATATCTGTTCCCTGTCCAAATAACATTGATGCCAATTTTAAATCAACAACTACTACTCTGCCTGAAATCATCAGCACAAAGTTGGATTTAAACCAGGAGTCCTGTAGTCTGTATAACTCAATAGTTTTATCAGTATAACTCAATAGTTTTATCAATTAAACCATGAAAGGGACAGTTCTTTTAATTAAGTGCTGCTTGAAACATTTGCCAATGGATTGGAAAATCTATGTCACCTTTGGTACGTGGTGGTTTTTAGTTAATTGTCATTATTGTTCCTGGATTCTGGGTTTTAAGGCAAAATGTCAAAGTAACAGATATGTGTCTAATATATTATAGTCTGGTGGAGGAGCTTCCTGAAGCAAATGTCCTTCTTCTCCGTCATTTGTTCGCTGTACTGCATCACATTGAGAAAAATTCTGAAGAAAACCAGATGACTGCATTCAACTTGGCTCTTTGTATTGCTCCAAACATGCTGTGGCTTCCTAGTCCCCTGGGCCCAGAGGAAGAGAGCAAATGCACAAGAAAGGTAACCTACCAATTTTGGCCTAATTCTCCAGAAACATTCATAAAAATGTAACTATTATTGTTATTAGTGTTTGAAGTGTTTTACGTTTTGTTCTTCATTCTGAATCAGAATCAGCCTACATTGATAGCTAGGTGGAAGCCATATGCTTACCACTCACTTAATGTTGTAATGATCTTGTGGATAGGCACTGCCATTCATTATCTCCAACCTTTGCCAAAAATGTGTCAGTTCTTTAACTGCTACAGTTATGTGACAAAGTCTATTGCTTTGTTACAGAATGCTAGGTTAAACCACTGCATGTTTCTATCATCTCATAATGTCTCCGAGACACAGCACAGTGCACACCATCAAGAATTGCTTCAAATTGCAATGACTCATATTATTTAGCCAATAGTAGTTAACATCTAACACATAGTGTATAGCAGTATAATGGCTATGTTACTGGAGTAATAATCCAGATGCTGGGTATTCTGAAATGAGTGATGTACCTCCTGACTCCCCAATGTCTTTTTGTCACATGAAAGGCATAGTTAGGAACGTGATGGAATACTCTCCAATTAACTGAATGACAGCAGTTGGACATGTCAGTGGGTGATAATTAGAACATAGAACATTACAGCGCAGTACACGCCCTTCGGCCCTCGATGTTGCACCAACCTGTGAAACCAATCTGAAGCCCATCTAACCTAAACTATTCCATTATCATCCATATGTTTATCCAATGACAATTTAAATGCCCTTAAAGTTGGCGAGTCTACTACTTTTGCAGGCAGGGCATTCCACGCCCTTACTACTCTCTGAGTAAAGAACCTACCTCTGACATCTGTCCTATATCTATCACCCCTCAATTTAAAGCTATGTCCCCTCGTGCTAGCCACCACCATCCGAGGAAAAAGGCTCCCACTGTCCACCCTATCTAATCCTCTGATCATCTTGCATGTCTCTATTAAGTCACCTCTTAACCTTCTTCTGTCTAACGAAAACAGCCTCAAGTCCCTCAGCCTTTCCTCATAAGACCTTCCCTCCATACCAGGCAACATCTTGGTAAATCTCCTCTGCACCCTTTCCAATGCTTCCACATCCTTCCTATAATGCGGAGACCAGAACTGTACGCAATACTCCAAGTACGGCCACACCAGAGTTTTGTACAACTGCAACATGGCCTCATGGCTCCGAAACTCAATCCCTCTACCAATAAAACCTAACACACCGTACGCCTTCTTAACAACCCTATCAACCTGGGTGGCAACTTTCAGGGATCTGTGCACATGGACACCGAGATCTCTCTGCTCATCCACACTACCAAGAATCTTACCATTAGCCCAGTACTCTGTATTCCTGTTACTCCTTCCAAAGTGAATCACCTCACACTTTTCCGCATTAAACTCCATTTGCCACCTCTCAGCCCAGCTCTGCAGCTTATCTATGTCCCTCTGTAACCTGCAACATCCTTCCGCACTATCCACAACTCCACCGACTTTGGTGTCATCCGCAAATTTACTAACCCATCATTCTACACCCTCATCCAGGTCATTTATAAAAATGACAAACAGCAGTGGCCCCAAAACAGATCCTTGAGGTACACCACTAGTAACTGAACTCCAGGATGAACATTTCCCATCAACCACCACCCTCTGTCTTCTTATAGCTAGCCAATTTCTGATCCAAATTAGATTCTGTCTTGTTGGAGATGGTCATTGCCTGGCACTTGTATGATGTGAATGTTATAGTTACACATTCAGCCACTTCCTGTAGTGTGTATCCTCTACAAGGTATATTGCAGCAAATCACCAAGACTTAGAATCATGGAGTCATACAGCATGGAAACAAACCCCTTTGGTCCAATTCGTCCATGCTGACTAGACATCCCAGTCGGACCTAGTCCCATTTGCCAGTATTCGGTCCATAACCTTCTCAACCCTTTCTATTCATATACCCATCAGACGGATTTTAAATATTTTAATTGCACCAACCTCCACCACATCCTCTGGCAGCTTGTTCCATACACACACCACCCTCTACATGAAAAAGTTACCCCACAGGTCCTTTTTAAATATTTCCCCTCTCACCTGAAAATAATGCCCTCTAGTTTTGAACTCTCCCACCCTAGGAAATAGACCTTGGCCATTCACCCTATCCATGCCCCTCATGATTTTATAAACCCCTTAGCTTCCAGCACTCCAGGGAAAACAGCCCCAGCTTTTTCTCCCTCTGCCTATAACTGAAATTCTTCAGCCCCAGCAACATCTTTGTAAATCTTTTCTGCATTTTCTCAAGTTTAACAACAACCTTTTTATAGAAGAGTAACCCGAATTGTACGCAGCATTCTAAAAATGGCCTCACTGTCCTGTACAGCAGCAACAAGACACCCCAACTCCTATTCTCAATGTTATGACAATGAAGATAAGCGTTTCAAATGTCTTATTTACCACCCTGTGTACCTGCAGTTTCAAGGAACTATGTCTCTTTATTCGGCAACACTCCCAGGCCCTACCACTAACTGTATAAGTCCTGCCCTGGTTTGCCTTACCAAAATTTTTAAGTTGAGAAGGGAAAGATTTAAAAGTACCTGACCTAACCTTTTCATGCTGAGGATGGTGTGTGTATGGAATGAGCTGCCAGAGGATGTGGTGGATGTCGGTACAATTACAACATTTAAAAACCATCTGGTTGGGTATATCAATAGAAAGGGTTGAGGGATATGGGCCAGATGCTGGCAAATGAGATTAGGTCAGATTGGGATAACTGGTCAGTGCGGAAGAGTTGGACTAAAGAGCCTGTTTTGGTGCTGTATAACTCTATGACTTTATAATATTATTCAAGGAGTTGGATTCTTTACTTTTCTCTTTATTTGCACAATACTTCACTGTTGTCTCTAAAAGTTTGATTTGTTGCTCTGCCAATTTCTGAGAAAAGTGAAATGCTCATAGAATGGTAACCTTTGTAATATGTTCACCAGAATGGCCACATCTAGCCAGAGATCTCCAGGCCTTTTGTAAAAAGTTCCTATTGACAGCAACACATCCCAGAGATTTGTTCCCTTATCACTGCAATTTTCAGGTTCCTATGGCCACTGTCCTTGCAAATCTCTCTAGTAAAGAGTAAGAACATAAGATATTGAAGTAGGCCATTCACCTTTTTGCCTATTTTTCAGGAAAGTCAAATATCTCTGATTATTGAATTCCCAGTCTTGATCAGCCTGCAACCATGTCTTTGTAATACCTATTATTTATTTATTTTTATCTGTGCCATCAATTTTTCTATCTTGTTACAAATACATTCAGATAAAGCACCTTAAACTTTGACTTTTTACCATTGTTACTTACTCTGGTTCTAATTTCTTATCCACTCTTCTGCTTATTTTTTTTTGCCTCCTGCTGTCACTCATTGTTTATCGTACGCCTCTTCACTACTCTGGACATCTCTTCTTTCAATTTTGATTTAAACTTCTCTTCAATGGGAACTCCCACTTCCCCAATAATTCACAGTCCTATCTATAACCCTAGCTATATGATTACCAGGACACTGGTCCCATCATGGTTCAAATGAAGTCCATCAAAACAGAACAGTTCTCTCCTTCATTTAAAACCAAAAGAACTGTGGATGCTGTAAATCAAGAACAAAAACAAAGTTGCTGGAAAAGCTCAGCAGGTCTGGCAGCATCTGTGAAGGAGAAAACAGAGTTAATGTTTCGGGTCCGGAACTTCCAGTTCTGAGGAAGGGTCACCGGACCCAAAACGTTAACTC